GATTAGAAACGTGTGAATACTTACACTATGACTATACGTTTCACTGCAACTGCCCGTAACACAACATCTAAAAACTCTCTCTCTCAAAAAAAAAAAACAAAAAAAAAAATAGACAAAAAAAAGGGAAAAAAACGCCGACCGAAAAATGTATATCGTTTAAAAGTATACTGAATGACCAGTGTTATTACGGCTCAGGGATATGACTTCCTCTCACATTTTGGCATTTGGTGGCGCACTTTCGGCGAGAGTCGGAAATCCGGAAACAGTCGACCGTTTCAGGATAGGTAGGCGTGGCTACAACACGAGAAATATCCCAAATTTACTTGGATACGAGTAATCATTTTCAGCAAAAAAATCAATAACTGCCCATTTCAGTGGGACACAGATCTAAAATGGGAAACGTGAGGGTGGGCATTGCACAGGCACTTTAACTTATCGTAGAATAAACTCCCTCACTAATATTGTGCCACTATAGAAATACTTGCCAAAATTTCATTGATTGCAAATTGTCAGAATGATTCACCTTCTTTTCATATTTATACTTAGATTTCAAGTGTCATAATTTGTAACGCATACTTAACTAGGTCGTTCATTGATCGTATTTCCTTTATTATTGCATTGAACAATTTAACAGCCACAGTATCTTGCCTATCTTCGCTGTTGAAACTTGTAGAATCAGGTGACAGTGATAATTCAAGGCGACACAAAACAACACCATTTTGCATTAAGAAGTCCAAATCATGCCTAAACATTCATGTACACATCTGAATATAATGAAATTGTCGGATTAAACAATTCTGGTTGCAATGTCTAGAATTCTGATTGCAATATCTAGAATTCTGATTGCATTATCTGGAATTCTGATTGCAATATCCATATTATGAAAATATATAATGGAAAGTATCTCGGATAAATGATTGAAAATATGGCACAAATTGCTGAACATTTCGAAAATCGATAGTGGATTATTGAGCTGTATGTAAAACACATCTGCAAAGAATAATGTCGAAGCCAAAAAATATACAATTCATTCACGTACATTGTTCAGGTTGTTTCAGATTGTTTTAAAGTTGTTCGCCGTAGCATTACCGACTTCAGCATTTCGCACCATCTCGTTGAGGGCAGCCCCCTGGACACAGTTATATTAATTTATTTGTGAAAGTTGACAGACTTTGGCGTTCAAAAGGTAAATCGAGATACGTCATCACTGTTTTCAGCTGAACTAGGGGTCGATATTATGGTAGTGTGTTTCCGGAAACTCAGTTACCGATGCGGATATTAAAGTTGCGTATGTGTGATTTGCTGCATTTGTCGGTTCCGGTTCTGTTTCCGGTGCTGGCGGTGCTGTTGGTCGTGCAGAATCATCGTGAACATTAAATTCTATAATATTACGATCAAACCCATCATCACGTGGAGCACGTCGTCGTCTGCTGGGAATAACAGAAAATCCATAAAAAGTACAAATATTCCGAGTAAATGATGTTTCAGATTTTTGTTGCACTACGGAAAACTACAATAATATCATAAAATTTCTGAACTCCGCAATTGCATTAAACTTCGAATACATCTCCTGGTAGGCATATCGCTATATATTTTAGTATGAAAACAATACCTTTCAAATATAATGTATGCAATCAAACTTATTGGTAATACAAGCACGTATATAAGCAATACTAAATGATATTGTACTCACTTGTAATATACAATAAGGAAAATAACAACTGTTGCAATAATAATTACAGTAGCCCCAGACGCCCCGGCCGCTGTCACTACGTCCACGCTCTGCTCCGATTTAGTTCCCAAATTATTGGATACGGTAGTGCTTAAGTTGTCTTTTACTAAAATTGTTTGACTGTTGGTCACTGTGGTAACCTGGATGTTCGTAGACGTTTGTTTGAGTAAACTACTGGTGGTTGTTTCTGATCGTGAAAATTAACAATATAGACATATGTATTTATTTATATAGTATAAGAAATACGTATAATAATAATAATAATAATAATAATAATAATAATAATAATAATAATAATAATAATAATAATATCATGAGGCCGTAACAAAAATATAGACGTAAATACATACCAATATAGGCTAGGTGTAAATGGATACCCATCGCTCTTTGAAAAATTGCATAACCAACACCTTCGGGATTGATGCCAGTTTGCTTATCTACTCTCTGCAGCTGGTGTTTATTCCAGTCCGTCCAGTACACATACTGATCGTCTATAGCCATACCAAAAGGGTGAGAACCACTGATATTTAACAATAGATGCCGAGTTCCAGTGTTGAAATTGTAGTATTCAATTTTGTCCAACGAAGCATCGCACCAATAAAGTTGATCGGCTGCAGTAAAATGAAAACAATGTGATGAATCGTATGCTATTAAAGGGTGGCGATCGTGTCCTTGTTTCGTGTAAACAAACAATGTATTTAAACACGTGTTGTATACGTCGCTATAGATCCCATATCGAACGCGACGTGGCGCGACGAGCACCGCCCTTTGAGAAACTGCAACTATTGCCATAGTAATAGTAACACATTTAACAGTACAATAAATTACAAAACGTAGTCAGATCAGTGAAAAGGGTGAACACTTGCCCGATATGCGGCACCATAAAATATGGTTTAAATCAAATTATTGCTCTTGACATGTGACAAGTAACGTTGATGACACAGTATTTGTGTAACGGTGTTATTGTATTTAATCATAAACTCATATCATCCGAAATGTTAATTGTTAAAGTTCTCGCCAAACCCTTTTTTATGGTTGAATAATTTTGACTGAAGACAACATCTGTACATATGTACTACATGTCCTTGTATAGCGAATGACCTGGGAAATGTATAGCCCATAGCTAGGAGAGAATGAAATTTTGCTGTAACAGTAGAGGTGGCATACGTGTGTACTCAGACAGTAACGGGCGTATTACTAAATTAACGAAGCGTATTATTACATAACACACTGTTATAAATGAGAGATCAGACCCACGTTCACAGAAAATGTTATTTCCCACTTTCCTTTTGTCGATTGGTTAATCACCTTTAACGGGTCTACTCACTTGTAAAATCAATTGCCAAGCTGTTCGGCCACACGAGATTGTTAGAAACCAAAATAATTCTAGCACTACCATCCAAATTAGCTTGCTCAATCTTTGCTACATCACCCCAGTCAGACCAGAACATGAGTCTGAAAATACAAAAGTTAAAAAAAACATCTTCTCAGATATTTGAAACCTGTTTAAATATCGAGTTGCTTAGTTTAATGCGATGTAAATTCACATGGCATGCCAGTACATGTACATGATAGAGGGTTCAGTGACACTTCGTAAATGTACAGTACATCGTACCCTAAACCTGGTGAGGTCGGTGTATATTCTTTTACTGATTACATTAAGCGATAGAAAGGAAAACATTAAATGAACATGTGCTTACCTATGATTTAAATTAGTACAACACTAAGCATTACCTTTTCACGGGATCCAAAGCAATCTCTCGCGGCTTGTCTAAGTCAAGGTCGATAATTGTCACCATTGAGGAACCATCCAAGTTAGATCTGTAGATGCGATCCGTGTCTGCGTCTGACCAATACAAATATTGATCTACCAAATCCAGTGCTATATCATACGGTACTGGGAATGTACAGATACACATCCTGTCAATACACTTTACCAACAATGATATTTAACGTTACACCACGTGATCCATGCCAGCGAATCAGATTCACTTATCAGCTCCAAATAGATGTAGCAATGTTTTCTTAATTCTTAAAACTACGCTTAGCATAAACATCTCGATTGCACTCAAATAACCCTTTGTGCGATTAATTTAGGATTATGTAGTATTTATTTTGTTAAATATATACACTTTTTTGGGGAGTATTACTAACACAACTACTAATTTCGAAGTGAATTTGTGGCGCACACACATACACATTTAGAAAACTATAATTATACAACATATAACAGACATATAAATATCAATATTTGTATAATCGCAAATTAAATGAATTTGAATATTTCTGGTAGTGTCAGATTTCAGCAAACACACGTGTGATATAAAACCGCATATCTATGTAATATGTAAAGGACATTTATTATTGGATAGTGAAATGGACACGATTAGAGTTGGCTCCTGAACTATATTTCCGAATTGCGGTAAACGATGTTTGTGAATAGCAATAATGAATGTAAATGAGAATGTTTTGAATAAATCTGATATTTCAGAATCATCATGAGGTATTTCTTATTTTTCTTCTTCTATATGATATCACAA